TGTCATATTCTTTCAGCTTTTCTCTTGTGCTTGTTACTATGCTCTCTAAGTGCTTAAAAATATGAGCTCCTAGGACAGTAGAATTTTTAAACTAGTCAGAATGTGATGTTCAGAGGAATTGAGGGATTTGGGAACTCCTTGGAATTCATTAGATGTCAGATTTAAACAAGCTAGATTTTCACATTTCAAAGATTATTTGTTAACATATTTAAACAGAGCATTCAGGATTGAGGAAGATCAATCCCCAGAGACTCTTCAAAACAGGAAATGTAGAGAAAGAATTGGGCAGAATTATGTTGCAACTGGCTTCTCACACTGATTAGTAATTAAATTGGTAAAAAATTAAACTCTTGAAATTATTTAAAATGCATGCACAGAGCATTCTTTCCCAAGGAGCTGGAGTGCCTTTTTAAGGATCCTGCAAAAGGCTGCAATGGTAATTCATTTGATTTAACTGATTTTGCCACCTTTTTTCTGGAAGGTGATAAAGCAGGTTTGTCAAGACAGATAAGAGTCCACATTGTGGACTGTGTGCTCACAACATTTTCCAATTTGAGCTTTCTATCATCAGGGCTTTCTCATCTTCAGGCAAACTCAAAGCATTACAGATTGCAATTCTTTCAGTGTCTCAAAGTGCATCAGGCATATTAAAGATAGAGAAAGCAATGTGTCCTGAAGAAAGGAGTTTTTAATTACTATTTTATTATGTACCTTATTATTTTCTAGAGGTTTTGATCAATTCTTTGGCCACTGCACAAATACAGAGGAAGTCTCTGTCATGACCAGCTGAGTTTATCACCAAAATTGAATCCAGAAGTATAGCATAGAAGAAAAAGAAGTTCTTGAATGGGGACTGGAGGCAAACACAGCAGTCCACATTGTCCTGGAGGCAGTCTGATTTCTACATGTGATGTCTTCCCTTGCATTGGGCAATATCAGGACCTCTGCAGGAAAGACACTGAGCAACCTCATTTGGTCAGTGTTGCAAGAGCAGAAGGGATGGCTGGAACAGGAGGGACCAAGAGATTTGGCAGAAGTCACAGCAAGAAAGCATTATTTGGGTCATGAACAGATTTATTAAAGGAATGGATTTCAAAGCCCATCAAAAGACTTTTGAAGTTCATTGATATCCAATGGCAAGTATTTAAGAAAGAAGAGCAGTTGTGTATAAAATGGCCCAGAGAGAAGAAAACATGGGACAAATGCAGAAAAAATATTGAAATTGCTCAATTGAGAAGAAGATGCTAAGAAGTTTTTTGACAGAAAAGTTTCTAAATTTAATAATTAAAACCCAGCCTATTGCCAGTGATTCCTCAAGGAGGCTTTTTGTTCTTCAGAGCCTGCAATACTTCACAGATTTCTGGGAAGGAAAGGGTATTCTTCATTTAAAATCTAATTGCTCTTTCAATACATGCTAGAGAAAGCTAGGCATGACTAAACTATTATTTGAAGAGTTCGTAGATGATTGTGGATCATAATTATATCCTGTTTAAAACATCCCTTGAGGTAGGGATGGAATAGGGTAATTTGTGACCCTTCCTTTGTCTTCAATTACTAATGACAGCCTGAACTTCAAGTACTGATGACAGCCTGAACAAACAAAAAAAAAAGCATAAGGCTTTGAGTTTCAGCCACATGAAGCATCTCTCGCTAAACAAATCACAAGCATCACCACTTTTACATTCAAATTCAAGGTAAGCATGTGCTGGAGTGCCCTTGCTGAACCAGAGTGGGAATGAGGCAAGCACCCACTCACCTCATGAGTATGGAAGATACTCTGTATTCTCCACCTAGAAATCACTCTTCTTCCTTATGGAACAGAAACACAGTTGCTCCTGAGCCTGGGCACCACCACCAAAACAGCCAAACCACCCAGCCAGGGGAGGGCTTTGTGGTGGGAGTCTGCGATGCCCCAGTGGGTGAGGCTGAAGCCTGGCTGAGCTGAGGGCACTGCACTGGTAATTGCAGGCACCCAAGCTGCTCTTCAGTGCCCAGACATGCTTTAGATATTTTCTGTGCCACAGTCCCCTACTTCAGCTTTACTTGGGATTTGAGATGTTGACAGTAAATAGCAAACCTGATGCCTTGGATTAAAAACCACCAAAGTGGAACTATTAATTTCAGTAGGAACCAGAGGTTATGGAGGTTCATTTTTTTAAAAATTCTGTAGGAGGTATCCACTCAGCTATATAGAGTAAATTTTGTGATGCTTTTCTTTTTCAGATTGTAAGACATCCTGCTTATATGTTATAGTCCTAATAAATACAGATTAGACTTAAAGAGCTTCCGTAAATGTCATTATTTCGAGGCAACCTACTCATTCTTCAGAAGTGGAAAGCCAGAAACACCTCCAGAAAGAAACACCTACACTGGAGAGATTACCAATTCCTTCTTTTATCCCCAAGATGTTGCCAAATGGAGAACTCCTGCTTTACAAGCAGGGATTCAGAGCTGAACTGAATACTGGACATCCCCAAAGAGCAAACAGGAAGACTCTCAAGGACAATTGAACTATGGGCATCTCAAAATAAATACATGTATTGTGGGAGAGAGCATGAGGAAAGTGAAGGTTGCTTCTTTGGTTTTTCTTATTTTCACAACCTACTTTACCATATCTGAATGTCAGTGCGTAACACCTCCTTGGGTGAGCACTCCTGCACTGTTTTCAGGTTAATGCATGCAGTGGGTACAAACAAACAGCAACAGCGTACCGAGGTGTGCTGAGGCTTGAGGATTTTTTTAACAGTGACGATGTGTGCCCAGAGAAAAAAAGTGTGTGGAGCTGAAGACAAACAAGAAGTGGCAGAAAACCACCTCACACCTCCAGCAGCACTGGGCTGTGCAGCTGGGGTGCTCATTTTTCCACCAGACCCAGGTTCATCCATAGGCTCATGACAGCAACTCCCACCCCAGAGGAAAATCTCTCCTTTGCCCTTTAGCTGGGCTTCCTGGCAAAGACTTACAGGATCCCAGCTTTGTATATTTGTCTCTGGCAGTTGCAGCTACGATTCCTCTTCTGAGGGCTTCAGTGGGCATAAGCCATTCTTGGCATGAGGGGGTTCCCTATCTGCAGGTGAGATACCAAGCAAGGTTTCAGCTAGGTAGAACACCGCGCTCTGAGCACTGTCAGCGATGGCTTTGCACAGTGACAGCGAGAGCTGTGTATCTAATTTGGGCAGCAGCAGATGGATCATTTAAGACAGAAAGAGACTGGCACTACCAGCAGAGCAAAGGGATAACGTGTTCTTTCTGCAGCACAAATCTCACAAGTGACTCATGACTCTTCTACAGCTCACACTGGCATCCCTTGGTCTTTGTGACTGTAACTGCACATTTTAAAGGTCAGGACAGTGCTTTCTCTCTAGTACCTTGGAATCCATACAGGTGAATGTTTTGCTCAGAAGAACCTTCAGTGCACATGGTGGTTTCCATATGGTTTGATCAGCAGGTTGCTCTTCTCCTTCTGGCCCAAGCATAAAGATTATGAAATAATCTCACCAATAAACCTCTCAGTTTGATTCCTGGGTGCTCGCTGCATACATAATTATCATGTACATGACTAATATCAGACAGGCCTGGTGCCTGAGCCACACCCACATTCCTTCTGCCAGCCCTCATTTCAGAACAGATTTCAATTAACTTTCATCATATGTTTAAGGTGGCCTAAGTCTTTTCTTCTTTGTGTAGGTGTTTGTATCTCAGTACTTTATACTTAAGGATGTACTTCACTGCTAACTAGAACAGAGACTAGTTAATGGTCTTAAATGGTCTTCTGTCTACTGGTCTTATTTAGGTGGTATTTCCTCCGACAGCAAAGCCCTGGCATTAACTAAGCTGTGTGTGCAGGCTGCTCATGTTCATGAGTTAGTGTGCTATACCTTGTGAAAGCACACACTGATGGTTCACCTGTAACAACCTGGAATCACAGGCATTTCACCACTGTCCTTGCTGAAAAATTAGAAAGCCTGAAGCTGAATGGTGTTCAAAAGCTCATTGCTTTCTTGTCCAAAATGGAATTGTCATCTAGATTGGGTAGTAGCTTTCTGTGCAAATTTCTGTTCTAGGTACAAGGTATCCTGGTACTGCACAATTTATACTAGCCTTAACTCAGGGGGACTCAAATCAGTGCAGGCTGTGCTCGGTGATGGTAAAATCCTACGGAAAATTACAGTCAGTGCAAGGAAACCACTGGCCAGAAAGAAGATCCAAAAGATATGAATAAACCAGTGCTTCTGCACATTTAACTTTCCTCAAATTCTCTTGATAACTTTACAAGGAGAAAAACAAACCAATACAAATAGCCATGTGTTTCACAGACTGGAACACTGCACTGAAGTTGAAATAGGCCCTCCTATTTTAGCAGCTTGGTAATGTTTCCAACCTGTCTTTCGCAGGTTTCTGAGCTGGATCCAGCTGAAAATAGTAATAACTCACCTTTGATAGTTATGTAAAAGATAGACTGCAGCCCCAGTTCAGCTTCCCTTGAATGGGGAGATGAAACTTGCAACCATGTTTCATAACAGTACCTTTATTGGCAGGCTTGCCAAAGAGGCCTGGGATACATGACCTTTGCAAATGAATAACCAACAACTTTGACTTTAGAAATAGTCTTTCATAATGAAGCTGATCCTGGGAAAACACCCTCTGCCTACACTGAACTTTTTTTTTCAGTAACTTTAATTCCAAAATTATGTTTAAATCTTTTAAAATGTGCTTAAATTTGTATGTTTATTCCTACATTGAATGCTAACATAATTAGGACTATGGGTCATCTTCTGTATTTAACTACTCATATTGAATATAAAGTCCTAAATATCTTTAATATGCATGTCTTCACTGCGGACATGCATATTAAAAAAAGTGGTTTTTTTAAACGTATCTTCAGTTTTCAAACAAAAGCTTGCTCTGCTCCTGCTGAAAAAGTTTAAAAGAATAAACCAGCTTGAATATTCAAAATCCACCACAGCAATAAGAATTAAACAACAAGTAATAACAACATATCAATTTGACAGGCTTTATTTTTAGTGACTTTCGAGTTGTCACAATCTCAAGGCTTTTTCTTCCAGAGCCTAGGGCTAAAAGGTAACTGCCTCGTATTTAACGAAAGGTAAGTTACACAAAAAATGCCAGCTGTCATGAGATAAAGGACAAATCATGAGTCAGCAAAATCATTCCAGAGCTTTATCAAGGAACTTATCTTTTCTTCCAGGTTGTTTTCTTTTGTGTGACACTTGTCTGACATTGCCTGAAATTATTTCCTTACACCTTGGGAGTCTGGCTGGGAGACCTGACAATATTACTGACAGTGGATTAAACACATCTGCAAACTTTGTATAAAGAAAGCAATTGATTATCGTACAGTCTGGGAAAGGAGAAGAAAGGGAATAAAGGGGGGAAAGGGAAGAAAGGAAATAAAAGAGGAAAGGAGGATAGGAAGATTTGTGGCCTTATTTATGTGTCTTCAACCCCATAGTATAGGCATCTGTGCAAAGATCCTCACTGAGGATTTGTTACAGCCTTTGTTAAAAATGAGAATACTTAGTAGCAGAGATAGTACCTGGGGAACAGTATCAACATGAAAAAAATATCCTGATATATATGAAATACATATATACTACTTGACATGAAATATATATCTACATATCCTACTGTCCCTATCTGATTTTTACATGGACCACAGATTAACTTCATTCCTGTTCTTACAAAACAATTTTAGCAGATCCTTAAGTAGCAATAAATAAACAGAGACTGTGAAACTAATTTTATATGTTGCTGAAAGAGAAGTCAATATTAAAAAAAAAAAAAAAAAAAAAAAAAAAAAAACCAAAAATAAATTTATGTTGATAGAGCTGAAGGTTGCTTTGTTGGTTCTTCCCTTGGCTTCGGCACTCAGTTCAGTGTCCCAGTGTTTTAGTTTTATTTTTCTTAATGGTTTTCCTCCCATCTAAAAGCATTGCTAGGAAAGTTTTAGGCCTGCTGAACAAAATCCTGCAATGTCAATGACCTCTTTGGTAGAATTTAGTGAGGAGGGAGGTGTCACTCAAAAGACACACTGTGGCTGCATCTACTCCGTGTGATGGCACACAAAGTACAGGAAATCGCCCCTCCAGGGCTTGTGTCTTCTGGTGCTCTGCACAGCTCATGCATCCAAGCAATGGTGGTCACAGCCAGGTGGAAAAGCTGAGCCAGAAGGCTCACAAAAGGAGATGTCTGTAAGGACATTTCTAGACTGGCAATGAAGCCTCTGTGAACTCAGGAACCTCCAAGGCTTTGGTAAACTGGGGTTATGATGTACAGATGAAAAGAGAGCAGCAATGGGGAAGACTCAGAGAAGTCACTGATCCTTTTGCTGCAAATCCAGTATTGGCAACCATGGCTCACTTGGACACGGCTTCTTGCCCTTTGTCCTGGGGTGTCAGACCAGATCCCTGCTGTACTCTAAAGAAAGTCACTTCCTAGAAAAGTGGTTGCTCCTGAACCAGCAGCACTGTCCTGCAGTTCCTCTGCCTGCTCTGTGTTGCCTCAGAGTTCTTCTGGCTTTCAGCTCCGACAGATTACACACATATTTTTCCCTCTAAGGCTCTGTACAGTTGCTCACCCTAAGTCAGCATGACTCTGGGCGCAAGTCATTAAAGACCTATGCAAGCTATTCATTTTTTAAAAGAAAACCAGGTTAGAAAACCTCCAGGGCACTTGCACTCGGCAAGATAATTTTATAGTAGCTTTTCCCATTGTACTAACTTGTCAGTGTTTAAGCACTTCCCTTCCTTGTTCTCATTCCATTCAAAGTCTGGAGTTTCACTTTCATTTCTCTTGGGCACTTAAGTTTCAGTTCCCTTTCGGCACTGCCCTCTCCTTTGTGGACACCTCCCTCAGCTACTGAATTACTTGTAAACCACTTGGAATATCTTTGTCTTCTTTTTGCTTTTCCATAACATTCCTTATCCTTTTTTTTTTTCTTTCCTGACTTCGCATCTTTCTCATCTGTTTTCCTCAAGTATCATAGTGTAAGCCATTAAGAAGGGAAAACTAAGAAGAGCTGAGTTAATTAGGTTCTTAAGCTTATTTGTGAAAGTAAGAATCGGCTTGGGAACTGTCACAAATAGGGATGGGCTTCAAGCGTTTTCTGGATAAAGAGAGCACTTTTAACCACTACCCTCCTGAATTTGTAATTTACCTTACATTTGTGAATTTTTGAATGGACCAGTGTACCTTCCATTTCTGCCCCCTCCCTTACGCTCATTCCCACAAAAATAAATTCCTTTTTCACTCTCCATGGTGTTATCTGTTTGAACTATGTCACCTTTTATTTGAATCACAGATTGTTAAAGTAGGAAATGCTATTTCTAACATTTGGATCATTGCAATTCTGATCTTGTGAATTCTATTCAGACTAAATATCTGTTTTAATTACTAAGCAGAAACCTCAAGCCTTATTTCTGTGCTTCCACAATTCCAGCTTGGCACATCCCCCAAGACAGTCACAGTAATTTTTCTTTGGGGAAAAAAATAACAATAATATGACAAGAATTGCTGTAATTCTAGAATTACCGCTTCACAATGACAACATAAGAAAATATTCTACTGTGGCATTATGATAGCTGCTTTGACAAATGACTGCAGGGATCTGGAGTGATTCACAGGTCCAGCCCAGGTGTAACTGGCAAACAGAATCAAATAAGAGGATAAAACAAGTTTGTGAGACTTTTCTTCACCTCCCTAGTCCTGGGACCAGCAAAGAACTGTTGGCAGTCTGGGATGGAAGGGTAAGGTCCGACCCACTTCCCACTCTCTTCTCAACTCCTGAAGATTCGGTGGGAACAGTGACAGTGCTCCTGTGATGCCTGTGAATGAGGAGAGCTGTGCTGAGTCAGGGTCAAGTCCATTGGTGTCCCCAGAAGAGAACTGAGCAGCCACTAGGAACTTATAAACCCAACACAAGCTACCTTCAAATTAGTCATTTAATGTTTAAAAATAGAATACATATGTTTGCTGTACATACATAAAAATGCAAGAAATTGTACAGTCTATAACCACCACTCAAGAGTGCTCTGTGGCAAATCTGAGTGATGCATAGAAGACAATTATAATCTGCATGACAGTTTCTTAGTTGTTTGGTAAAGCTCTTCATCATAGCACCATCGGCTTCTGCACACACAGATAAGGGGCAGTCAGCTCGGGCAGTTTATGCTTTGTGGCTGTAAGCAGTTCAGGGATGCTGCTCAGCAGAACTGTAATTAAAATTAATTTTATTCTTCACTGTGCTGTGAAGCAAGCAACAGGCTTGGTTGTCCTTTTCAATGTACTTTCTTCATGTAACTGTGGAGGAATCAAAGTGAGGAACATTACAACTTTCTGAGCACTGCCTAATCTTGTAATTATAGGCTTTTCATCGTGGAACACAACAGCTGGGAACGAGAGTTAGGGGAATGAGAGCACAGCAAGCCTGCTATTTCCTAACAGAATATCCCCAAGCCATTATACTATATTTTTTCTGCAATTTTTCCTTTATTTTCCTATTGTAAAAGAAAAAAAAAAAAAAAAAAAAAAGGGAGGAAACCTCTTACAACAGCAGAAATTTCAACTGCCTTAGAATTTAGAAAATAGGAAATAAAATCTAGAAGGCCTGTAGCAGCTGTTTCCACACTCAGTATTGCTCCACCACCGGCACGGCAGAGCTCTGGGCCCGCTCCTGCCGGCTTTGGGCAAACCCACGTGGCTCCGCACACCGGAGCCACCAGCCAACGCACGGCCTCATCTCACAGAAACCGTTTAACTCGGAGACAGGGAGGCTCGCTCGGGCCGGTCCCAGGCGAGCTACTGACCGCTGCCACCGGCGTGCCCACCGGTGCTCCCCGCGCGGACCGGGCCCCGCCGCTTCCCGGAGCGGGCGCCGCTCCCTCCGCCGCGCGCGGGGCGGGGCTGCGGCGGCCGCGCGTGCCTGGGGCGCGCCGCGCGCGCAGCCCCGCGCACAACGCACCGCCCCACCTCGCGCCCCCCGGCCCCCGGCGGGCGCGCGCGCTGACGCGGGCGGCGCCCATAGGCGGAGAGGCGCGCGCGCGCTCCGCCCGCCCCCCCCCTCCCTCCCCCGGCCCCCGCGCCGCCGGGAGCTCGGGCCTCAGCCCGTCCCGCCGCGCCCGCTCAGGACCACGAGCGCTCCGTCGGCGGCGCCTACCGGCTCTGCGCGGGCGCCGGGCACAGGCGGGGAGAGGGGCAACGGCCGCCAGAGCGCGCCGGGGAGAGGCGGAGACGGGGAACGGCCGCCGCCGCCGCGAGAGAGTCGAGCCCCGCCCCGCCCGCCCACTCTCCGCTCCCCGCCCCCCGGGACCGTTTCGGCCGCCTTTCCCCGCGCTCCGCGTGCGCGCGCGCCGCTCCCACGCCGGCCGGGCCGCATGAGCGGCATGAGCGGCTCCGCCTGAGCGCCGCGCGCCGCCACCTCCCCGCTGCCGCCGGGTCCCGGCGGGCGTCGCGTCCCCCCCGCGCCGCCGCCGAGGATGCTGAAGATGAAGCTGCCCCTGAAGCAGACGAGCCACAAGGCAGCGGCGGCGGAAGATGCGACGACGGCGGGGTTGAAGGAGCCCGGCGGTGCCCTGGACTGTCACCTCCCGCTGCAGCAGCAGGTGCCCCGGGCCCGCGGGGGCGCCTCCGCGGCGGCGGCGAGGGGGTGTGGGCTGGAGAGGCCGAGCCGGCTGCACGGCCTGGGGCCGGGGCCTGGGCCCGGCCCGCCGCCCCCCCCCGCCTCGCCGGGCGCTCTGGGCGGCGGCGGTCCCGGCTCGGCGGCCGCCCGCACCGACAAGGAGACGGTGTACGAGTGGTTTGGGTTGGTGCTGGGCTCGGCGCAGCGCCTGGAGTTCATGGTGGGGCTGCTGGACCTGTGCAACCCGCTGGAGCTGCGATTCCTGGGCTCCTGCCTAGAGGACCTGGCCCGCAAGGACTACCATTGCCTCCGCGACTCGGAGGCCAAGGCCAACGGGCTCAGCGACCCCGGGCAGCTCGGCGACTTCCGCGACCCCGCCGTGCGCTCTAAGCTCATCGTCTACCTGGCCCTGCTGGGCTCCGAGAACCGCGAGGCCGCCGGCCGCCTGCACCGCCTCCTGCCCCAGGTGGACTCCATCCTGCAGAGCTGCCCGGCGGCGCGGCGGGCCCCGGCCGAGGAGGAGGAAGATGAGGAGGAGGAGGAGGAGGAGGAGGAGGGGGACGTGGTGGTGGTGATGGACGGAGCCGCGGAGAACGGGCAGGCCGGGCTCCCCGCCGCCCAGGGCCTGGGCTGCGGCGCGCAGGAGGAGCTGCTCCTGCTCTTCACCATGGCCTCGCTGCACCCGGCCTTCTCCTTCCACCAGCGGGTCACCCTGCGGGAGCACCTGGAGCGGCTGCGGAGGGCCCTGTGCGGGGACCAGGAGGAGGAGGGGGAGGGCTTCGGCCGCCACCCAGCCCAGGTAACGGCGCGTCCTGCGCCCTTCCTGCTGCGCCATCTCAGAGGGTGGTTTCGTCCTTCCTCCATCGCTCCCTCCCGCTTTCGTAGGAGCGGCTGCTTGCTTTCCCCGAATCCCCCCCATTGGGATGTAGTCCCTTCCGTCCTCCCCCTACCACGGCAGTGTCAGCCCCCACAACCTCCTGTGGAGTGTCTACTACAAATTTCATGGCGGGGGGAAGGGCTGATTTTCCTAGTCTGCCATGCTTTCTGGAACGCTGCTTCTTCTTTTTTTTTTTTTTTTTTTTTTTTTTTTTTTTTTCTGGAACTCTGCCGTGCTGGAGTGCAGGGTGCACAGTACTGAACTGGCTGCCTCGTTTGCCTGTAGGTCACTGTACGAAGCAGAAGTACAAGCAACAACTTGACTAGATTTGTAAAAATAGAAATTATAATAATGCTAGATAGAGACCAGATTGCCTAAGAGAGCATTCTCTAGGGGCTTCAAACCAATAGAACAAGTTGAAATATTTTTTATGGAGTCTATTCCTTGCCCCTTTGCAGAATGAGACACAGACTTGAACTTGGCAAGAATCAGGGCAGCTCTAAGGCTGGTTCTCTGAAACACCAGGTTCAGTGAGATAGTTGACACATTAGGAAAGGGATGGTAATGATTCCACTCAAGAAACAAAATGTCACAACTGGAGCTTCTGTGCAGAGAAGAACTGATTTTTTTCTGACCACTCAGAGCACTGCTTAATCTTGTAATTGTAGAAGAAAAACTGATTTTTTGGGTGGCTGTCAGGAAACAGCAAAGCTCATACTGAAAGCAGATGTGCCACTTGTTGCTAGGATGTGGCTGTCGCCAGGGATGAGGACTTGCAGTGAGTGACAAGGGAAGCATTCTCCTGTGCAGTAGCTCTGTTTAAGCAGAGATTTTCCTGCAGTCCCATTCACTGCTGCCCTCTTGATGAGCATTGGCTTTAAAAATTGCCCCATATTTATACAGCCAAGCTGTCCTCATGGAGCTCTGCAGTTTTTGGTCTACAGATGGCCTCTCCTGCAAAGGGGAAGGAAGGGCTGGAAGATGGGTGCTTATAGTACTGTTCCAAGGAACCCACCAGGTTTTCATGAGTTACTTGACAGAAAAGGGTACAAAGCAGTAAGGGTTGAGGTTTTGGGATTTTGTTTCTAAGTTTGCTTGCAGTGCAATCCATTTCAGGCACTTGTAAAAAACTTCTACATTGCCTGCTGTATGAAAGGAACAGCTCATTCTGTTTGCTAAAGATGGGGTATGCTCTTGAGGAGTACTCAGAGAATTTCCAAGCCTTCTGATATTATATTTATTAACTAAATGCTTGTATCATTTAAAGGCCAAAATGCATTTGGCAGATCATAAACTAATGGGCAGATATTACAGAACTGAAATCACAATTAATTCAGAACATCAGTCCAAAAAGTGTTTATTTTGGCTCATTGGCCTGTATCAAGTCTAGTTCTATCCCAGAATTAATCCTGAAAGTTCATCTTTCTGGGGAAAAGGCTGAATTGCAGGAAGTGGTAAGACTGGACACTGTCCCTTCTGGGTTTAAAGTGCTAGTAACCGGAAACGTACTTCCTGCCTGGAACTGGCACAGCAATTGTAGCTGCTCAGTGTGTCCCACCAAATGGAGTTGGGAGAGCAGGCTCCCGTGAACTGCTGGAATTGAAGTCAGTTTTGTGCAGTGTTCTGGCTTCAGCATAAAAGCAGCTGTCCAAGTTGCGGTGGTTTTGTTTACTCGGGGAACACTGAGAGACCCAAGTCAGCTTGGCTGAACATGCACATCACATACTCCGCAGTCGACACAGCAGTGAAACGCTTCCGTAGGCTTTCCTTCCCCTCCCCCCTCTCTTAATGGCTAATTGTAAATACAGCACAGCCTTTCTGGGAAATAATGGCTGACAGGGAACAGAGGGATCAGTGGGTTTCTGCTGAGTATTTTCAGTCAGCGTTGCACGGGGACGGTGGGACCCTCGCAGATAAAACGCTGGAGGAGATGGAGCCAGTAGCACGGTTAAAGGCTTCCCTGGCAAAATGCTGCCGTAGCATTACACTGAACTTGATTTAAAAACCTGTCGGGTGACCACAGGCCTTTTCTGCTCTTTAATCTCTGAAATTTGAATGCCTTGAGGGCTCTGCGTTTGTGAACTAGAACGGTTCATAAATACCTCTCTGAGATTTTACTCGGCTGGGCTCTATCTCCGGGAACAACCCGCTCCGTGCTGGGCAGCCCAAGCAGCTCCGCTCGGGAGCCCCGCGGTGATCGCGGCCGGATGGGAAGTGCTCGGGCAGGCGGTGCCCGGCAGGGGCACCGGGACTTTCTCCTCCCCCGTTGGACGGGCACAGCCGAGCGCGGCAAGGGCAGAAGGACCGGCGGGAGGGGGGCGCCCCAACCCACCGAGCACCGTCACGGCCCGGGGGAAGGGGGTGACCCCGCTCTTTGTTTGCGGGGAGGACGGGCGGGTGACGGATCGCCCCGCCTCGTGAGGGCACAGCCCCGCTGCCCCTCGGCGCTGCCCCGCCGGGGGGGCGGAGGGTCGCTCGGCCGGCCCCTGGCAGCCGGGGCCGCGGTGACTGATGGTGGCCGCGCTTCCCGCCCCGTCCGACATGGCGGCGCTGGCTCCCGGTCACGTGCCCCGGGGCGGCGCCCGGCCCGCGGGAAGGGGCGGTGCGGCCATTGCATAACGGGGGTCGGCCCGGGCTGCCCCGTGCGGGGGGACTGCGGCGGGCCCGTGTACCGGGCAGAGAAGGCGCGGTAGCACTTCTGTGCACAGAGGCTGCGGGCTCAGCTCTGTCCTCCTGTGCTTAGCGCCCCTGGGCGTTCTCAGCTGCAGGCTTCTCACCCGGCGGAAGGTGGTCGCTGAGCTGCTGTTCACCGTGTGGGCCGTGAAATAGTAATATATTCATATGGCTGGCAGCAGCGATGTGAAATCAGCCTGCAAATGAGAGGGAGTTCAGAGCTGGAGTAGAATCAGGTGGTTTGTCAGTTCTGAATTCTTTAAGGCAAAGGACTGTGCTGTTGCACGTGGCATGTCTAACAAAATGGCTCTGTTTGAGGTTTCCAGGAGCTGTACCACCTAGCTTTAGTGAACACCAAGGCTTGAGAGGTTCACCTGCAAAGAATTTATCGGTGATTTACCAGAACATAAAGCAGTTTGCTTTTTCCCATTGTTGGGGTTATGTTTTCTAGGTAGGATCTGTATTATCTGATAAAACTGAGTTCACAATAAAGTTGCTTCATGACAAAGGGTTGATAAGATTGTTGCTATTTTTAATGTCTTATTTCAATGATTTTGAAAAATGTAACATTTTTTGTGATATTTTAACAAATACAGCTCAAAACAGGAATTCAAAAGTTGTGGGAGGTAGGATTACCTTACAGTTGATACACTCGGTGTCTTTGTGAAGTATTCTTAATTAAGGCTAGGGAGTTTTTATACTTAAAGTAGAAACACTTGATACTATTTTCAAATTCTTAATTGAAGGTGTGGTTTATAACAACATCTTTTGGAACAAAGTAATTGGTGCATTAAACTGCAGAATAGCAACTTTGAATCTGAAGTTGAAGTATTAGAATAAATCAGCATTTGCTGCTGAATAAAATAAGTGTTAGTGTGCAAAAATCCTGTTGATACCACTGTATATTGGTTTAAGTAACAGAATACATAGCTTAATTCTTGCATTGATTATTTATGTTTAATAAGGGCATTGTTATCAAAACAGTTTGACTTTATTATCTTTCTCCATCCCATTGGATGTCTGGGATCAAAATGCTGAAATACTGAAGAAACTCTGACTAATCTATGAACGTAATAAACGTGGCTTGCATTAGGCACTGG